TGCACGACATGTCTGGGGGACAGCGCTGAGGTTCCACTGGGGCAGGGATTGTGGCTGCCTGGCCACAAAGGGCTGGTGAGGGGTTGGAGGGATCGCTCACTCCTTACAAAACTTGCGGTCAGTTGTCTTGCTTTCAAACCCACTCAGCATTTCTTCCTTGGGAGGCACCTGGCATCCTCAAATCCTGAGACTTTCTGGGGATTCTGAGGCATGAACTTGTGTGTTTCTGGTTAAGTCCTCCTCCCGTACCTCCTTTCCTTTTCCTCCTTGGGTCCATTTCCAAAATATTGTGGCTGTCTATAATCTGCTGTCATCTCCTTTTCTCTTTTCTTTGTTTTTGTAGGTTCATGTTTTCTTTTTCTTTTAATTTTTACTGTCATTTTAGAGGGGTTTGGGAAGGGAAAGGCAAATTTATGTGTATAACCTTTCATGTTTACTGGAAGTCTATTCACTTATTCTTTCTTCCAGTTTTTCTTATGTCTCTCAGAGCACTCTTCAATGTATCTTGAACCCAATAGGTACTTGATACAAATCAAAGCAGTTATAATATGACAAAGTGGCTTCCCTGACCCATGGGGACAAAAGGCAGGGATTAAAATTACCCTGCATGAAGATTTCTGAAAACAGCAGGTAATGCAATATCTACCCAGATTTCTTGTTTTTTGCTCATTCAAAAACTTGTGAACATCATGCTCAAATTTAGGTACTGGGACGTGGGTAAAATGATTAGAAATCTTAGAGCATCTCCTGGTGAATTTCTTTTGTATTTCTTCATATGACACATGGTAGTTCAATCACTAGTGTAAGTGGAACTTTTGCTATAGTCTGGAGTGAGAGAGGAGTAACTGTCTTTTTATAGTGAGAAAACAGCTGTGCCATCATTGCACACGCTAGGAGAGGGAGGAACATTTGTCAGGGTTCCTATCTGTCACTGTCAAGAACAGTGAGATGCCGGGGCAACACATTATTCCAGAGGTGCAGATTCTTCTGTCAGTTTCCAAGAATTGACTTAGCTTTATCCATGAGGATCCTGATGGAGGGTCTGAAATTTCTCTTCTGACCTGCCAAAGCCTGGCCTTTTACACAGAACATTACACGATGCCAACAGATAGTTTCCAGAGAGGAACTGGGAATTAAGTGGACAGATAGATAGTTTCCAGAGAGGAACTGGGAATTAAGTGGAGCTCTGGTTGCCAATGATTCTTTTTCATGCCTAGCTACCCAAACAAAGAGACTGAGGCAGAAGCCAAATCCGCAAGTGAACACACACAGTGGAATCGGTGCCTGGGAATATAGGGGCTCTGGCTGATTAAACTCCTGCCAGAGCGCCGGGGGGCAATTTCTCTGCGCCTCCCGTCTTGTATTTTGGCAGCTCTCCCTTCCCTACCCGCACCGTCCCCCTCCCCACATCCTCTGATCCATTTGCACTGTTGTTTGGAAGGAGCCCAGTGCACACAGATTGGCAGCGCTGTAATTGGTGCTTTCCTTACCTCTGCCTCTTTTCTCCCTGCATTTGATCATTCTGATAATGACAGTTTATTTTTTCCCCCTTTACCATCGGAAAACAAAAAGAAACTCTTGAAAGAGTCGCGGATTTACATTTCAGTTTTCTGATGTATACTGCTATGGGAAATAAAATTCACATTTTAAAATGTTTTCCCACTTCTGTTCCCCTCGTCCCCCCCCCACCCAAACAGTCAACACTGATGGGAAACTTTAATGTTGAGAATTGATTTTCCCTCAGAAGGTGTTGTGATTACAGTGGCAGCATCCTTGAGAGTTGACTTGTCAAAATATTGACGATCTTTTTTAAGACCTTCATCATTGTCATCATAATTGGTGTCTCCGTTTGTTAGACTCTGTTTATTTATGTGCACTTTATTTCAAGTGATATTTCTTAGGATAATATTCACAAGGGTTTGGGGCTCCTGGAATGAAAAGTGTTATATAAACTGAAATGCTTACCCCCTGGCAAAAGGTAATCTCCATTGCACACACCACCTGTTTAGGACAGCTCACATTTGCACAGTGTTTTGTAGTTAAGAAGGGATGTTCATGTATATTATTTCATGTAATCCCCCTGATAATGCTGTGAAGAGCACATAAGGGATGGTCAGGCTCCAGGAATCATCCCACCTTGCCACGCCGCCAGGCATGTGTGATTCTGTACCTGGTGTACTGCTAGCTTTTCACAGGTGTTGTCGTGCAGCGCTATAGAAGCTGTGTCCCAGGTGCTTCAGTTCTGGAGAAGGGTTGGATTTATAGAGGCACAAATAAGCACAAAATAATTAGAGGAATTTTTTCATTTTCTCGTGTCTCCTAAGGAGGAGAACAGAGCAGATAATTAACTACAGGATCTCTTTGGCAGACTGGGTAAGAGGGGAAATCTGTGGGTACTGCAAAATTAATAGAATTGATTCCATCACAATTGTATAAACAGTTAAGGATACATATAATTAGGGCACTAGCTATAATACAAATTGAGTATATCGTGTGATTTACCATAGATTAGGATATGACTCGTGAGTGACAATAATGCACTATTTAAGCCAGTGGCAAAAGATTTAAAAGCTTTTTTTTTTTTTACTGGGACACACACAGCCTTTGAACTTAGATTTTATAAGAGAGCATTTCAAGGCAGTAAACAATTCCTCTAGAAGAGCATCCTTCTAGAAAAGAAGACCAAGCAATACTGTAATAACTGTGGGTGTGATTTGATTCCTTCAGAGGTCTTAACTAGAAGTTTAGTTGTGGAAGGAATGCCTTAAATGCAAAACTGTTAATAAACACAGCTATACATGGCCACATAATGCTGTGGAAAAAAATACAGGCTTTTGGGAAGAGCACAGGCCTTGGACAAGCTCGAACTGAGCTTGACTCCTAGATCCTCCATGGACCAATTATACAACCTTGGGCAAACCTTGATTTCTGTGAGCCTCTGTTTCTCCATGTGAATATCCATGGATTAAAAATGCCTCTTTTATAAAATAGTTGTGAGGATCAAGCGGGATAAAGCAGGCAGCGTGCCTAGCATGGAGAAGCAGCTCCACAAAAGGTGGCCATTCTTCTTGTGGTTTGATGTCCCTCCCCTTCTCCAGGGAACTTAAGCACCTTTGGGTCAGAGACTCAGTTCAGCTCCTTTTTTTGTTCCTTTGAAACCCCACATTACAGAGTTCCTCAGAAAGGCTTTAATTGGGCTGCAGTTAGTCTTTATTCATCACAGCCTTGCTTCCAACTCACATCCTGCTTTATCAATTGGCTCTAATGGACGAGTTGTAGGAAGGACTGTTTAAAAAGCACAGTATTGGCTGATAACATAACAGCTGACACTTGGTCCAGAATCTGTTTTGTTTAAATGATTGTACATAGGAATCAACTTTTCATTTCCCATGCGACAAAGGAAAAAGGATTATAGCTTACACACTGTAAATCACTTAAATATCCTTCGCCTACGGGTTCTGGAATCATATTTAAGGAATGTGGGGGGAACGAATGCACTTTCCGGAATCTGAAGTGAGACTCACACTTGCCCTGCATTCCTTTTTCTTTCCATTACACTCTCCATGGGACCTGGTGAAGGGACCGGTGTCTAGAGGTGTCGACTGGCCATCGTCCTTCCACACACGAAGCCTCTCACATAAATAGACTCAGAAGAAGGAGCCATAACAGATTTGAGAGTGAGCTAGTATATTGGTTGAAAACTTCTTGTTGGAAAACAGAAATCTGAACAAGTCAGCTCAGGCAAAATAGGAAATTTATTGGCTCAGATGATTTGGAAATTCAGGGATGATGCTGATTTTAGATGCCAGGTTATCAACCCCAATGAAAAAGAGGTATTCTGATTACTCTGGCAGAAAAGTCTTGGGGAGGACTCCACTTAGATTTGCCTTGCTGGACTAGTAAAGAAAATTGCACTATTGCATACACATTCTATCCCATACTACAGAAATCGTGTGGTAACTGGTATTACTTCTATTTTATTTTCTGCTTTTGTCTTCCTTTCTCTCCTTTTTTGTGGCCTGGGTATAGATCCTTAAATCTCCTTAAATATGTTATATGCTTTCTATTTCTACTTCACTAATCATCTCTCTGCTTATATCACATGCCCATCTTTGAACCGTTCACCATGACCAGAAGGATGAGCATATTCATTGGTCAGCCTGGGCTGCATGACCACTCTTGAGTTGAGGGTAGGGTGGCATCACTATTCACAGTTGCGTTAGGACCACATGACCAGGGGAGGATGCAGGGTAGACAGACAACGTGTGTCTACTATACCCATCCCTGTGTTATACCTTTTCTATTGAGAAATGTAATTGTTATGACTAAACTGATTCCCTCTGGCTAATTCCTTTCCTCTTCTGCCAGCTGGTCAGAATCTTTTCATGATTCTCCGTCAATAAAAGGCAACAGTTAAACCCTTAAATGTTCTTGAGAAGTTACATTATTTCATAGCCTTTACAAATTTAACAGTGAGAAAATCCCCATTTCCATTAAATTTTCCCAGGCAGAATTTCTAAATCTTTTGTCATCTTCTTAGGTCTTATAGACAGTGTTTTCTTTCCTGCCTTTTTCTAGTTCAGGATTCCAAATGGAGCTGATGTGAAAGATATAGTGTAGGATATTGGTAAAAAAATATATGAATTTCTGGGTCAACTGACTTGTGTTCAAATTCCACTTCAACCACTAGACCAGCAGTGGTTGGGGAAATGCAAATAAAAATGCTAGTTTTTTCATTTATTGTATTGGCAAAATTTAAAAATGTTGATGTAATATACACCTGTTTTTTTTCCTGCCTTGCATCAGTTCCTTCTGTTCTATGGCAACAGTACCACATATATTTTGCATCCAGCCCTATCTGAATCCAGATCTACTCCTGGACTGCTCAGTTAGATGAGCGAATCAATTCCCTTTTTAGTTTAAACCACTTTGGGTCAGTTATCTATTACTTGAAACTGAATTGCTATTCGCATAATTGAGAATTTCCGTTTCTTGTGAAGGTATGGGGAAAGTATTGGCCAGGCATCTGGTAGCAGATTGACTCTATGGGACCCCTTTCTGCAATGCCGGTTGTATCAGGAGCGACTATAGCTTTTTCCAGGAAGCCTCCTGTAAGTCTTTTGTAGAGACTGTAGAAAGCCGTCACACTGAAGGCTGTCTGATGAATGGGACTAACGTCGGACGAGAGTGGATCTGAGCCATGCAAGAGATGTACCGTATCACTGTGTGTGTGCCACTGCACATCCTCGAGGTTTCTCAGCCCACGTTTTACTCCAGCTGGTGTTGTAGCAACTAGCTTTGTGCAAACATTCTGACAGCGCCTCACTTCATCTGCATCATGTCTTCCTGCCCTGGGACTTCTCTAATGCTGCGCCGTGAGATGGCTATGGAAACCCACTCAGGCACGTGGAACCCGAAAGGGCGGGGGAGTTAGAGCCAATGGGCATCTCTTTTCTAATGGGGGATGAGAGCTGGTGGATAAATGAGCCATATTCTACATGGCTTCTCAGAGGGTCTTACTGGGTCAAGCCCTAGTAACTCAGAGTGACCAACTTGATAATATACTCTGGTATTGCCATTCCCTCTTGGCCTCACTTTTCTGGATCATTTCCCAAATAAACTGCTCGCACACAAGACCTTGTCTCAGGCTCTATTTTTGAAGGAGAACCCAGAATCACCACAATTCTAATGAGAGTCCTAAATTTAATTCAAGTTTCCTCAGGTCTTACCTGCATAAATAGGTACAGTGGAGCTCAGCATGGGTAATGACCAAAATTTTTTGTCTTTGCCCCAAACTGCATGAGGCTACAGACGCTGATCTCAAATTCTTTTTCTCTGGCTTACATAATCAATGTGCACCAATGGAAAAGCCCCTCAGTGGCCATATTCCAGTACTGTCACTGATCCCAGGGCATTGGGTGACAGCACTGTCTGTTCTCCAAGTGATACCCAAGGTGCAGACCCCAACTCTGTAGCTCCCAAGTGGCTCTGCGCTCCCTTGAATCTTCTCTATGTTGGATCCAAACAGCAATGAAGAGAAGATCCTTCTTCCCATCTGGGCTACACTTAATTCCCCGGGTCTAATACACTGGAAGAAATATTCTCATGTCTCCTTTTGTTTCTGCCTGCAGCCCTGAGAGATCTAACCAGACCCATAGTTCATGGGCTGGGCCAGGGAGTGATGTACAAGGAGGATCCCAAGTCTTTCATCTTCATTGCTCTTGGACCCTTTTCAAACCTCCACTCGCTATTTCCAAATAAACCCATAATTCAGAAAGCCCCTTCCTCAGTGGTTGTTCAGTTATGGTCTGTCCCCTTCTTTGACTCATCTGGATGGTCTGAAACTCAGCAGTGGATATATATCTTAGGCGCAAATGGGAGTCCTGCCACTTTTCCTCCCACCATATTATCCTGAGAAAATGAACTTCACAGTGAAAACACCAACATTTAAATAGAGTGGAACATGAACAAAATCCTTCTTGTTATAGACCATGGTTCCAAAGGTGACTTAAGGATTTCCAGGCCTCACTAGCCTCTGATTACCAAAGAAGGTCATATTTCCTTTTATGATCTAAAGTAAAATGACCCTAAGTCCTCATCCTTTGAAGATCCTTCCTCTGCTGAGTTTTTCTACCAACTGAATTCTGGACGTCAAGAGGACACTCACATGCTCTACATATCTGTTCTCTGGTCGTGTTTGTCAGCCGTTCACCCCTGAGGTGACCTGCTTCTCCGGGATGCCTTGATCTCTGTATAGATTTGCAAGAGCCGAAGGGGCCTATGAACTGGATTTAATCAATTTGGTAACACAGCTCATTTTTTTTTTAATATATGTGAAAGAATACATGGTAACCCAAAAAAGTTTGAGATGGGGGACAATTTTCTACTCTCATGTAACTCACCACTGTTATACTGAAAGCAAGTCTCAGACCACGACTGCCACACAGCAGACGTTCCCTAACAAGCAGGCACAAAGCAGCTCACACTGTCATTCTGGAAGCTTGACGAAGTCACAGCCTCTGTCTGGCCTTTTGGATGGTCTGATGAACACCTTGCATAAACTTCTGTTCACTGGAGACAAAAGCCAAGACCGCAGAGGCAGGATTCTGTCACCCTTTCCGTCAATATCCAACAACAAGGACATTCCACATTGATGGCCACACACCGGTGATGCATATGGAACCTTTAGCAATTAAGTCTTCCAAGGGTTGTAGGCTGCCCAGCTCTCTGGATTCTGACACACTGCTCGTGTAGAGAGGGTAGAGATATTTAAACTAGTCCACATATTAAGAACACTTTTTTTTTAACATTCTTAGAAACATCTTTACTATAAATGTTCTTTTTTTCTACGTTTTTAAATTGAAATATACTTGACAAAAAATCCTTTTAATTTCACTAAAAGGAGCCCATTTCTGGTATCTGTTATGCTGATCAACAGGACACCATTTTCCACAATAAAAACCAATTTTTTACATTCCATGTGCAAATTAACAAAGCTGTGTATGACTATTGATTGAGATACAGACAGCAGGGGCACTGGTGGATGGACTTTATATCAGAATGCTAGCTGACTGCCCCAGCTACCCACAGAGTTAAAACTGAAACTAACTGGCACATATATAAAATCTCCCTATCTATGTTGAAGTGTTTTAAAGTAAAATGCTGTCATCATTATAGGTCCCCAAACCTCAAAGTCTAAGGCCCCCAATCTCTTGGATTCCACAGATTGACCACTGGACCCAATAGTTGGATGTTTTTCAAACTGCAAATTGCGACCCATTAACAGGCCCTAATATGAATTCAGTGGGACATGACCAACATCAAAAACAATGACAAAGAATATATAGAAGTATCAGCATTATGCATAATAAGGACAGGTGTTGCTTTATGAAACTTATTTGTTAGATTTGTGGCATGTGTTCACTGGAATACTATGTAAAATATAAAATATCTTTTTAAATGTCTTTTTTTTTTAATCAGAAAAGTTGAAAACACTCAAATAGTTGAAAATACATTTCACAAGGTTGGTATTAATTTACTCTTTAAATACCAGTGGTCCTGCTCTAGATTCACATTTAGGCAAAACATTTCTCACCCTCTTCAAGGGCATGGTTCTGGCTGAAGATACCCACTTACATCACTGGGCAGAATACTTGGCATCTGGATCTGCAGCATCAGCATTCAGATTTATGGTGACTTCACTGCGGTGGCCAAGGACAATGGGTGGGGACTTGCTTTATATTTATATAACTACAGAACCAATCCTGGTAATTTTCCAAAAACAAAAGGAATCGGTTCCAGAAATTCTGAGAGCTTTCTCAGCCTCCCCAAACTAGAAGCTGCCAGCAACCTCCCAATGGCAGTTCCAGCAAAGAAAAAAGAGACTCTGTCTTTCCTAGGTACCGGCATCATGCCTGCCTCACAGAGAGTCTGTATTCTGAACACATACCCTAAACCAGATGTTTTCCTTTATATCAAATAAATTGAAAAGAATGGTTGAAGCTTTTCTGATGATTGCATTGCCTCCTTCTCTGCTTGCAAATGGTAACTAGTGTAGAGGGGAAAATCTGTCATCGGCAACCGAGTTCTGTCAAGTGTTTTTAAGGACTTTCTTAGAGAAAGGTAGCACTACCCCAAGGAGCGACTTTTAGCTTTCGACAGCATTTCTATTAGCTAAGTCATCAATGCTCCAAGGTCCTGCATAAGAAGTGAAAAATGGAGTTTGCAGGGATGCATGTATGTCTACATGATTCTTTGAACTTAAACTCAAATTTCTTTGAACTTAGTAATATGACAAAAATTTACAGTATTGGCTGCTAATATTAAAATATAAATATATGTATATATGTGCATTAAAGATAGTTGGAGAACATGATGTGTTAAAAGGGATGAATGAAAAGCCAGTTTGTTCTACGGGTGGGATAGTCCAATGGAAGGATATACAATCAGTTTACTGAGAGGAAAACATGCCTAATAATGGGTGGAAACTGCTGAGAGAAGGAGCTCCCCAAGGATGGCACATAGTCAGAGAAACCAGAGGGAAAGGAATTTGTGATTCCTGGAGCAGAAGTGTGGGAGTCAAATGATCTATGGGGTGTAGATTATTTGAATCTGGGTTAGGGTGTACACAAAGGCACTTGTCTGAGAGAAGCAGAAATAATGCAATTTACGATGAGGGAGCCTGTGAACCAGTGACACAGGAAGTGACTCAGAGGGTAGCGGGGATGAGTCATGTCAAGCTGTGGTTCCAGAACTGAGGGGAGAGCTTGAAAGTACTAATGAAGCACTTCACACTTAGGGCAGTGGGTGGGTAATGGGAGTCCTCATTGAGCGCATCGCTGCAGTGTGAGAAATAACCTATTGAAAAGCCCAGTCTCCTGTTCCAGCAAACAAAATAGTCTAGTTCTTCCAAAGACCTCACAACTGACACCTTTTTTTTTTTTTCAAAATCAGGAAAATGTAAGAAACATCTGTCTTTTATAGTTTGCAGTTTTTGATGTCTGCCTTCATAAAAAATGAAAGTGAAGTTCCAAAATTAAGTACATAACGTACAGTGTGCAGCAAATAACGCAACACATTTCCTTAGAAATGTGTTTATCCTTAGACATGTGTGGTCCACCCCTGTTGTGCTGGATGCTGAGTGAGTAAGGCGGAGGGCAGGGAAATAGTGTCAAGAGGCGTGTTAATAGAGGTCAGGGGCAGCCCTAGGCACCGGACCATCTGCCTTCACATCCAGCTCTGTACTTTCATCCACTGGAAATCTAGGGCAGGGCCACCTGGAGTTTAATTATTTAAATTGGCTGACCTATGCAGGCTCCAAACCCCCATATGATTTCTCAGATCTCTGCTAGTTTTATCTAAGATGCATAGAGATTAAGAATATAGGCTGTGGTCCTGGGCTGGGCCCAAATTCTGACTCTGCCCCTTAGCAGCTGTGAGACCTTGGGGCAGTTAAGCAACCTTTCTATGCCTCAGTGTCTTCAGTTGTGAAATGGGAATAATGACAGAACCTACCCCATTTTAGGGTTTTTGTGAGTCTAGAGTTATTCATGAGGACACACTAAGTCCTTATTAGTTATTATTATTATACTGAAGAGAAGCAGTATAGTTCAGGGGTTCAAGCAAGGAGTCAGAGCCAGACTGTTCAGATCTGAATCCTGGCTGTGTGGCCTTAGGCAAGTTCGTCACTTTCTCTGTTGCTTGTTTTCTCATTTGTAAAACAAGGCTAATAAGTATACCTACTTCACAGGAGCTGAGCAAGAATTACATGAATTAATATGTTTAAAGTTCCTAGAACAGTGCCTGGTGTATCATACATAAATGTTTGGCACTATTATGATTTTATGTATTTATGTATTTATTTATTTATCTCCAGCTAGCTCTGGGCCTGGCCCATCCTAGGTATTCATTAAGAGGCTATTGAAAACATGAATGAATGAGTACATGTAGTCTAATTCAATGGCCTGCAGTATGGATATTGGCTGTCTGTAACATTCCAAATTTACCAAATGCACTTGGACTTGTCTGCATCACACACACCTTTAGATGGAATATAAACATTGTCTCCAGCTTCCTCTCCAATTCAGCCCTGTGGTGCTCAGTGCTAAAAGGGAGAGGCTGTTTGACATGGGGCCATGACAGCCTCGGGGAGCATCTCTCCGTTTCTCCATCGGTACACTAGGGAATCATTATAACATCCCCAAAGTCCGGAAATCCAAGGACACAAATTAATTATAGACACAAGTCAAATTACTCTCCATCCCTTTCTCCGTGAATATTTCTGGTGGAGAGCAGTCCCCACTGTCATTTGCTGGGGAAGTGGGCAGTCCCCAAGAGCAGCCAAGCTCCCCATTAAGCCAGAGCCCATCTATCTGCTGCCTGGGTGGCAGCGGCAGTTCCACCCCTTCATAAACATCAAGACAGGAAATAATGGAATGTTTAGTCTGAGTAATACATTAAGGAAATCAATTAGGCCCACATGCAACTTTCTAAGATTTTAATTACAGTACTTAGGGTACCACACTAGAGCAGTTTGTCAGGAACATAATTTGTTAATGAATAACAACTGACACAGTGAATTAGTTGGGATTGTAATTAGCTTTTGCTAGCCAGCCATTGGAACCCTGATCAAAAGCCAGTGAGCAAAAGAGGGAGAAATCAGCTGTAAATGATAACCTCGACAGCTCTGTCTGGGGTGTCTCCCTGATGCTGGCGTACCCAGAGGGGCCTGGCTAAGCCCATGGGCAGATTTTAACTCAAGTGAGGTCAAGGAGCAGCATCTGCCTCACCTACGAGCTTGTAAGAAATGCAGACTCTTGGGGCCCCACCCCAGACCTATCCAACCTGCATTTTAAGACACCCAGGTGACCTATGAGCGTATATATATTTTTAATACATTTATTTATTTATTTATTTTTGGCTTCATTGGGTCTTTGTTGCTGTGTGCAGGCTTCCTCTAGTTGCTGCGAGCAGGGGCTAATCTTGGTTGCGGTGCTTGGGCTTCTCGTTGCGGTGGCTTCTCTTGTTGCGGAGCACGGGCTCTAGGTGCATGGGCTCAGTAGTTGTGGCAGGCGGGCTCTAGAGCACAGGCTCAGTAGTTGTGGCACACGGGCTTAGTTGCTCCACAGCACGTGGGATCTTCCCGGACCAGGGCTCAAACCCATGTCCCCTGCATTGGCAGGCGGTTCTTAACCACTGTGCCACCAGGGAAGTCCTTGTGAGCATATTGAAGTTTGAGAAGCACTGTCAGAGTACAAAGAGCACAGGTTCAAAATCAAACAGATCTTACTGTAACTCCTGACACTAACGCACTCACTAGAGATGTATCCTTGGGCAATTGCTAAGTCACTTTGAGCCTTTGTGTCCTTATCTGTAAGTTGGACCTACTAATACCTGTACTGCAGGGTCCTTGTACTGACTAGCAATATCATGTGTGTGTGCCTAGCACATAGCAGGTGAACAATGAATGAGGGCGTGGGAGAAACTCAGCAAGGTTTCCTGAGGCCTGGGCCTGAATACACATTGTCCTCTGACCTGGGTCACTTATGTGAGTCACACCTTCATCTCTCCAATCTTCCCATTCCACAATGGGGAAGGACTAGGAGAAAAGAGATAAAATATTACAAATAAGTTAAAAGAATAGAGAAAATATTTTAAAGATAAAATAATGAAAATAGTAAAATTAGCCAAGGAGTATGCTAGACTTAGATTAAATTGGTTTTGTTTTTCTGAGGTGGCCAAATGACCAAATAAGAAAACGTGGATTGGTAATATGAAACACCTGGGAGAGTGAAGAGCCCAGATTGTTCTCTGTCTTCCCACGGGAGGGAGAATCCTGAGGAAGGAGGTAGCCATGAACAATCCTCCCAAGATGGGGTTCATGCAGCAATTTGGCGAGCTGAGATCCATAGTTGAGGATCAGTGTTTTAGGAAACACCTTTGACACACTATACACAATGGATATGTTCTTGATAGAGCATGCAAACTTAAAAATATGTACGTCAAAGCAATTTCCTCGTTAGAAAATTTCCCTCTAAGCTTCCTCACCCGGCTCAAGAGAGTGTTAGAAGGAGCCCTTACCTAATCTGATTATTAGACCATGTGCTCAAACTCAAGGACTACCTCTGTGTCATGGCTCATACAGAAGATGGCAATATTCTTACAGCACATTGTGGGTAGACTGAAGGGGTTCCAGGGGCACCTATGTGGGACAAGGTGAAAAAAAATCATTTCTTTTTACATCATGGAATTACAAGAAAAATTTTAAATTGAGAAAGATATTGGATATTAGGTTTGCATAAAAACATCCAAATTGAGCATTGTCAGTTTTCAAAATGAGAAAATAAATGAGTTTGCTTCTAGAAATGTAACTTTTTAATATCAAGTTTGATGCTTGAAATGGCTGAACTCAATTCCTGATCAAAAGTCTTTAATAACGATCTCTTCAAATTTTGGTTATTCACCATCAATGAGAAACTTTGCATGAGGAGGTCATAAAAAGTTATTTAACCATTGTTTTACAACTGTCTCAAAATTTGTAGTACTTGAAATTATATTTAGGGACTATAGCAGCCCATCCTTTTATTGACAAACTTAATATTGAAATTTCTTGTGATAACGCAAATGTTTTTAAATATAATAGAACTTTTTCACATCTAGTACTTCCAAATATTAATGTGCAAAACTCTCACACATCACGAGAGCAGTCATCATTGACAGGACACATCAATTACAAATGGGCAGAAGTTCCAAATGTATGGGAAGGCCACCACCAGGAGCTCAACCTTCCTGGTCTACCTTCTCTCAACATAGACACATGGCACCCTGGGGTATGCACCATGCTCCTTGGGCACCAGGAATACAAACTCCCCCAGAAGCTCCATGGGCCACTTGTCCATGATGGGCAGTCTGGGCTCCATGCTTAGTTGCTGGCATGACTATCCACGTCGAAGGGCTCCTGCTTAGCTCTGCTCAGAATGTTGAGGCTGACCATTTATGCTCAGTGGTGCTCAGTGCACTTCTGCCTGTAGGGACTGTGGGATGTACAGACAGGTCCTGCTTATCTGGAACCCCCAAATAAGGCTGCTCATGACCAGAGTTGACCTGTCTGGGGTTTCCTGCAGCCCCCAAAGTCTTGGGGGTTTAAGGCCTTGTGGCACATCTGGAACCCATTCATGGCACCGCAGCTTGGCCCACTGGGAAGCTCTGGATTACTCAGGGGCAGGGACCAAGCCATCCTCTTTCTCTTTTACTTCTTGAATCTATGCATGATAGGCTCTCCTGCACCTTCCTCTTTTACTTCCTACTCCAAGGATTGGTTGAATGATTGGGGTCTTTCTCTACTGTGTTGGAGGAGACTTGGCCATCTCCAGTTGGATTTAATTTCTCCCCAATGACAGCCTGACCTTGTCTACTGTTCTCGTCCCACAAGAAGATGCCTGGAATACTCAGCACTAGGTTTGGGATCAAATGTGGTTCTTTTAGTGCTTTGACTAGCTCCACTTCCTCTGGTAGTTGTGGTTCACTGTGGTTTTTCTTTGCACGGCAGTGATTAACATCCTACCCTTGGGTTTGGGGAATAGAAGAGGCAGAGATTCATGAGTGGGAAGCAAGGGGCTTCAGGCCTCACCTGCATTCTTTGTTCTCTTACAAGGGCTTTGCTTTGGAGCATCAAGCACTTAGATAGCTATAAATAAATTCTATAGTTTCTTACCAATTTGGTCACTGAAAATTAAACAGGATGTTGTATTGGAAGTTTCAATTGATGCAATACCATACAATGTAAAGGAGAGTCTAGGCCATGTGCAGAAATTACAGAGAAGTTGGAAAACACAGCTCACCAAACCCCCAGCCATATCAAGGATATAATGAAGGATATAACTCTTCAAATTAGAAGAGTGGAAAGTTAGAGAAATTTATGAGGATTTCCCTGGAGAGTTGTGGCTGTGCAGTGAGTCCTCCTACCCCATCCAAGGAAAAGGGTTGAAGGGAGCTTCCCCCTCATCTTGTCAAGGGAGAGGAGTTTCATTGGGACCAGAGAGCAGTTAGGGAAACACACAGGCCTGTTGTCTGCTCCCACACCACTGTGCCCACCCAGGATGTCAGAGGATGAAACCTGGGCTATTAGCTGATGTAGCAGCAAAGCAAAGGAGAACTGCTCCTGCTTGGGGATTGGTCTTCCCTCCTAGATCTTGGGCAAAGACAAGATGGTTTATCTGGCAACTCTGGGTGGGGTTATCTGGTGTGCTGTCCAATAGAGTCACCAAGGTGAGAGAAGTGCCCTTCAGTAGAGGCTAAGTCGAAGTCGTGCTTCTGGATTCCTAGAGGTAGAGGAGAGAGTGAGCAATGGCAGACCAGAGGGCTTTTGCCTGGGTCAAGGGCATGGCCCGTGAGAGCTCATCAGTGAGCTGCCCCAGAAAACAACTTTAATATCAGTCCATCTCCAGGGCCTAACCTGCTTATGATAGGCAGGTAAAACATTCCTGCCGCTCTTACTTTTTTTCCTACCCCCTATCCCCACCTGATCTTTCCCTACCCCAACCTTGAGGGGATCAGAAACTGCCGTTGACGAGCTGGGGGAGGGGAGTCTTGGCAGGGGGAGGAGCTACCACACTCCTTCCCCTTCCTCCAGTCCCCGCCCTCCCTGGGAAGTAGGGGAAAGTCTTTCCTTCAAATGAGGAGGCAGCTTTGATTAGTATTACAGGAGGCTGGTCTTTGTAATCACAGGGTTTATACTGTGTTTGCAGCTCAAAGTGGTTGTCAAACTTTTGATCAGAAATTGATCCAAATATCACGAGATTGCCTGAGTTTTTAGCCCACTGAATACAATTTGAAGGGAAACAGAAATAAAGTTGCCATCGGATAACATTCCATGAGTGGATTGAAGGCGTATCATACATAAATGTTTGGCACTATTATGATTTTATATATTTATGTGTTTATTTACTTGTCTCCAGCTAGCCCTGGACCTGGCCCATCCAAGATGCCACTTACCATTCCTTATAGCATGATTCCGGGCAGGGAGCTCTGTAGGGACCAAGAGTGCATTGGAGCAAATCTAGCGTGAACCTTCAATGTAGAGTCACAGAATGTCAGGCTTGGAAGGAAGCTTGAAGTCATCTATTCTAAATGACCTCCTGCTATTTTGAGCCCCTCTGCCATACCCCTGCCCAGTGCTCATCCCACCTGTGTTTGAACGTCTGCAGAAATAAGAGGATGTGCATCCTCTCAAGACAGTCCATCCCATTTTGTAACAGCACTTCTCATTTTGTTGTTTCTTTTGCTGCACAGAAGTTTTATAGTGTGATGTAGTCCCACCTGTTTATTTTTGCTTTTGTTGCCTTTGCTTTTGGAGTCAAATCCAAAAAATCACTGCCAAGACAAATGTCAAGGACCTTCTCCCCTATGCTTTCTTTAGGAGTTTTATGGTTTCAGGTCTTATGTTTTAAGTCTGTAATCCATTTCAAGTTGATTTTTGTGAGTGGTGTAAGATAGGGGTCCAATTTCAGTCTTCTTCACGTGATTATCCAGTCTTCCTAGCACCATTTGTTGACAGGATTATCCTTTCCCCATTGAGTATTCTTGGCTTCCTTGTCAAATATTAGTTGATCATATATGCAAAGGTTTATTTCTGGGCTGTTGGATCTGTTCCATTGGTCTGTGTATCTATTTTTATGCCTGTACCGTACTACTTTAATTACTATACCTTTGTGATATAGTTTGAAATCAGTAAGTGTGATGTGGACGTTTAGGAGACATTGATTATGGAGGCCTGATGTTCTGAGCCTTGGATCATGGGTATTTACTCAGGTCTCTGGGAAATTTCCCTGGGTCCCCAAACCTCTGCTCCCATATTGGTGCTCACCTCACACTGTATGGGGATTTTTCTATATGCCTGTGAGCACCTTGAGGGCAGGGATCATCTTGTTCATTGTTAAAGTCACCAAGCTCAGTATTTGAAGAGAAACGGGTACCAATAAATTATTTCCCTTTCCCATCACTGCCTAATCTGTAGCCTTTGCTGGACCCACTTCCAGCTGTTCCCATTCAGTCTTATCAGGAGAGCTCTGGTCCTTTGAATAGATCGATTATCCTTTCTTTGCTGCAAGCTTCATTCCTAGGTTTGTCTCTCCAGTTCTAAAAACACTTTGATGTTTTTAAACTGTACTGAAAAGAGGAAGAAAATGACTTTCTAAGGTCAGGTATTTGGGCTCTGGGTCAACTGGGAAAGAAACAGATGAGTTCTGATATATCATATGAAACTCTGTCCATAAAAATCAAACGTCCTATTTCTGATATTTCTGCCTCATTCAATGACATTGTTTTCTTTGGAAAAATAGAATATTTATTATTCAGACTCTGGGCAGAGGAGTGAAATGGCCTGGATCTACAGATAAGGGGCAATTTACTGCTGGCCAGCTGCCGCCCTTGCCATCTAACAAATATAGGTTTAAATGAAAGCATCATAGGCCCACTGCTACCTCTGTTCCAGAAGAGAACTATTTATTTTGAGCCACAGTTTTTCCTCTCTTTAATGCCGTTTTTGAAAAATGATGTGTACTTTCGTCTCACTATGTGCTTCTCCTGTCCCTCCTACCCAGCCTCTCTGCCTTAGGAAATAAACCACTCATTAGGTGGTTCTCTTGACCCCGGGTTTTCCCTCCATCCTTTTCAATTCAACCCTCACACCACATATTTCCCAAAGTTCAGCTCTGGCCTCCAGGTCAAGAGCTCTCATGGCTCACCAAACAAGGGCCAAACACTTGAGCATGGCCTTGTAGGCCCTCTGCCTTTTGTTCCTTCCTGTTGTGTTCTTTCTGCTCCAGCCAGTTTCACCAGCAGCTGCTTTGAGAACGTACCCTCCTTTTCTAGAGCACCCCGTTTCTTCCCTTTGAACGTGTCTTCTCTCTAGTTCCGCACGCTCTGCTTTCCTCATCATCCGAAGCCCAGACTGGCATTACCTTTTCCTTGAAGATTTCCCCGGTCTCTCTTGCTGAAAGTGGGATGTCTCTCTTCACAGGGTTCTTGAAAGGATTGAACAAGATTATGCACAGAAGTAGAATGGCGGTTGCCAGGGGCCGAGGGGAAGGGAAAACGGGCAGTTTTTCCTAATGCGCAAAAAGTTTCAGTTATGCAAGGTGAATAACTTGTAGAGATCTGCTGTACAACCTTGTGCCCGTAGTCAACAATACTGTTGTACACCTGAAGATTTGTTAAAAGGGTAGATCTCACATTAAGTGTTGTTACCACAATAAAATGAAAAGATTATGCACATGGATATGCAAAGTAAAATGCTTAGCAAATACTAGACACACAGTATTTTTTTTTCCTTTCTACACTTTTAAATTCTTTGAATTCCAAGAGTATTTATTTCTTCTAGGGCAGCAAAGTTATTCTTCTTTACCATGTATCATAGTTATGTGGGTGTATATCTTAATTGTTATATATCACAGTGAGAGAAAAAAAGGCACAGATTTTGATGTCTGACATCTATTTGTTTTTTTTTTTTCTTTTTCTTTCCCTTTTGCGGTACGTGGGCCTCTCACTGCTGTGTCCTCTCCCGTTGCGGAGTGCAGGCTCCGGACACGCAGGCTCAGCGGCCATGGCTCACGGGCCCAGCTGCTCCGCGGCATGTGGGATCCTCCCGGATTGGGCACGAACCCGTGTCCCCCGCATCAGCAGGTGGACTCTCAACCACTGCGCCACCAGGGGAGCCCCTGACATCTGTTTTTGAGAGCTACCTCCAAAGCTCAGTAGCTGCGTGGTCTTGAATAAGTTGCTCAGTTTCTTTAAGACTCAGTTTTATTATCTGTTAGAAAAAGAAAAAAAAAGAAAAATAACAACTATCTCTCTGGTCCTGTGGATGGATTAAATGTGACAATACACGTAAAAATGGTGACAGATAACATGGCAGCAGCTCAGAGTCTTACTGTGGTTTCTTTTCTTCTTTGAGGGCAATGACCACAATGTCTACATGTTTATAACCCTAAGGCACAGAGCATGTAGCCTTGTGCATAGTCACGGCTCAGTAAATGCTTCCTGAATGAATGAATGAATAAGTGAGTGAAAGGAAGGAAGGAAAGAAGGGAGGAGGAAAGAGAAAAGATATGAAAGGGTTAGCTTACTTATATCTTCTTTGTAATACAAAAGTTACGGTGGTTTCAACTCAAAGACAAGTATCTCCGAAGAGAGTAGGGATATTTCCTCTTTGTCCTAATCCTGTGCAACATTTTTAGTGACAGCAGCAATCTTTATATTTGGAAGGGAGAGCTGTTTAAAGTTTCCTAACTTTTGGAAGCCAATAGTTGATATACCAGCAGTGCCACGTCTGTTAAAGAAAAAAAGTATTCTGACATTTGTTAAAATGGTAAGGAAGACTTTATTCAAGGCTTGTACAGTAAGGGTGAACTCTATTGCAATAGAGGAGAAAGATCGAGCTCAACTTTGAATCCAAGAACAAATGGGGATTGATAGCCAAGGAGCAGAATGAAGGGGTCAGTGGGTAAAAAATTACTAAGAAGAGACATCAAGGGTAGGGGAACTCTTGCTAAACTGACCTATTAGAATTCTTGCTAAAGGAAGGCCAAGAACTTAGACATCAAAGGTGGGGAATGGGGAACTTTATCAGATACCAAGGGTGGGGATATCTGAGTGATCAGATATCAAGGGTGGGGGGATTCTCGGTAAACTGACTTAGCAGGATTCTTACTAAGACTGGGTAGGCAGACTGAAGACAGGATGGGGGCCAAGATCAAGGCCTAGTTGAGAGCAGGGCTCTGAGGAGCCTGGCTAAGGTTGACCACTATGCCATCATCAAGTTCCCCCTCACCACTGAGTCAGCCGTGAAGAAAATAGAAGACAACAACACAGTGGTGTTCATTGTGGATGTCAAGGCCAACAAGCACCAAATTAAACAGGCTGTGAAGAAGCCCTATGATATTGACCTGGCTAAGGTCAACACCCTGATCAGGCCTGATGGAGAGAAGAAGGAATATGTTCGACTGGCTCCTGACTATGACGCTTTGGATGTTGCCAACAAAATTGGGATCATCTAAACTGAGTCCAGCTGGCCAATTCTAAATATAAAAGGTTTTGCTAAAAAAAAAAAAAAAAAAAAAAAAAAAAGGAAGCCTGGGGAAAGCCGTCTGCCCTACTCCCACTGAGGAAAGCAGGAGTGGGGCAGGTGTGCTGCCCTAGAAGTCATGAAAGTTTGGCGAAATGTTATAAACATTCCTGTCTCTGGGTTTTCATTTGTGAGAGGGACATGACACCACTTTTCATCCCAACTATCTTAGTGGGTATGTTAGTTGCCTGTGGCTACTGTAACAAATTGCCACAAACATGCTGATTAAAAACAACAGAAATGTACTCCCTCACAGTTCTGTAGGTCTGAAGTCTGAAATTTGTGTCACTGGGGCAAAATCAAAGTCAGTAGGGCCACACTCCTTCTGAAGGCCCTAGGGGAGAATCTGTTCCCTGGCTCTTCCAGTATCTGCTGCCTGCTGGCATTCCTGTGCTTGTGGCCACATTATTCCAATCTCTGCCTCCATCTTCACATGGCCTTGTCTTCTTTGGTCTGTTTCTAATCTTTCTCTGCTTCCCTCTTATATGAATACATACTGTATTAGTCTGCTTGGGCTGCCATACAAAATATCATAGGCTGTGTGGCTTAAACAACAGAAATGTATGTCTCATAGTTTTGGAGGCTGGAAAGTGCAAAATTAAGGTGATGGCCAATTTTGTTCCTGGTTAGAGTTCTCTTTCTGGCCTGCAGACAGCCACCTTCTCTCTGTGTCATCACATTTTTGGGGGGTAGGGAGAGAAAGCTCTTCCTCTTTTATAAGGCCACCAGTCCTCTCAGATTAGGGCCCCACCCTCATGACCTCATTTAACCTTAATTACCTCTTAAAAGTCCTGTCTCCAAATATAGTCACATTGGAGGCTGGGGCTTCAACATATGAATTTTAGGGGTATACAGTTCAGTCCATAGTACATGTGATTGCATTTAGGATAATCCAAGATGATCTACCCGTCTCAAGATACTTAGCCTAATCACATCCATAGAAACCCTTTTTCTAAATAAGGCAGTATTTACAGGTACCAGGGTCAAGGACCTTGTGTCTTTGGGTGGCCACTATTCAGCCTACCACTGGTCAGCCAAATGGGTCATAAGAGCCTGGATTTATAAAAGGCTTGGAGGTCCTTCAAGGTTTTAATGGAATCCAGAGCATTATAGATTTATTCACAATAAAATAATCCTCAAGATTATTTCAAAGTTTGATCATTCTAGAGTTTTGTTGCATTGAAGTTTGTGGTGTACATAGTGACTGGGAATTTTCACTTGGCATTTAGTCCTTTCCACTTGGCCTTTAGTCCTTTCCACTTGGAAGTTTAATAAGTAATAAAATTGAACAGAATCATCGTTTTCCTCCCACCAGACTTATTCATCTCCTATCCCTCCACAGTCAGCCAATGGCAATGCATCCATCCAACAGCTCAAGCCAAAAGCCTAGGAGATCTCCATTCCTCTCTTTTCCCCGTCTTTTGAATCCAATTGTGATTTTTAGCAAACAGTGTGGCATGGGACCCACCAATCAGAACAGAGTCAGGCAGTAGAGCTGTCCAAGGGGGTCTCTACCATGCCAGGCATTGATATTTTAGTTTTTGGTTTTAGGGGAAGTCTGAGGGTGTTAGGGTGTTGAAGTGGGGCACCACTTGGGGGCTTTTGGCAGTGACTGTTTACCAACTAGTATAGAATATTTCAATATTTTTGTCACTGGGTGGGCTCTCTAGGGACTTAGCAGTGAAACAGCAGCCCTTCCCGTATCCAAATTATCAAGTCCGGTTGCCTCTACATCCAAAACATGCCTTAAATCCAGCTACTTCTGTCCACCTCAATGGCTTCTACTCTAGAACTGGGCACCATCTTCTCTTTTTCTTCTTTTTTTTTTTTTTGTGCTCTACACTTCACTCCATATTATATAAAACCCCAACACAATAATCCTTTGCAATTGTTTCCAGACTCAGATGGGCCAGAGGGTGGGAGGAGGGAGGAGAGCAGCAAAGCTGGGAAGCCGGTGATCAAGGGGCAGCTCAGGATGCAGTGCGCGGGCACCATCTTCTCTTGCCTGAACTTCTGCAGTAGGCCTCTAGGGTTTCCCTGCTCCCAAACATGCACCCCCTATAGTCCATTCTCCAAACAATAGCCAGAATGATCTTTTAAGAATATAAATTATATCATGTAATTCTGCTGAAAGTGAATTCCCTTGTACGTAGCACACTATGCAAACTTCTTATCCTGACCTAGGAGGACCTCATTGTTCAGCCTTTGCCCCTCTCCTCTAACCTTATCTCCTCTACTCTCTTTCGCTCTCCCAGTAGCCTTCTTCCCATATCTTTTTTTCCTCCCCTCATGACCTTGGCACTGGCGATTCTTTCATGAATGCTATTCCTGCCTAGATCTTTGCATGGCTGTCTCTTCATTCAGGGTCCAAGTCAAGAGTCAGCTGTCACCCTTCTCCACTTGTTATAATAAAATTAGATTTGTGCAATGCCTTTTGTTTATTCACTCAAACTTTTATTGAGTTTTATCACTATGACCTTGGCACTCTGCTAGGTACCAAGGATACATGAACGAATAAGACCAAGTTGTTTTCCTCAAGGGCCTCAGTTGAGTAAAAAAGCCAGAAAAATAATTTCAAAGACCTCAAGTTATTTACGGTACAATGCAAAAATGAGCTGTAATGGAAGTCTTGCAGGAGCACAGAGAAGGACGTAACTATTAATAACTGTGCCTGGGGGAATCAAGGAAGGTTTTAGAGAGTAACTGACTTTACCTGGATAATTACAGTGGAGAATCCTTATTTTAGAGTGAATGAAACTGAACTAAATTATATTGTTCAATTTAAGACCTAAGATTAATCTGTGTTTGGTAAATATTTAAACAGGAGGTATTCCTGATTCTCATACACAATTTTAGTGGGCATTAAGTATAAGCAGAGTAGATTTCTTTACCCTTTTGGTCCATAAGTGGGAAAAGTGCTTCTTGTTTAGCTGACTTTAAACAAAGATTGATGGAGCAAGTAATATTAGGAGTGGAGACCTTTGAATTGATGGAGCTCTAGCTTTTCCAGTTGAAATGAGGTGAGTGGAAAGTCATGGTCACACAGCTGACCTGTTTTTTTATCTCTGAAATAAACTTGATCAAGTGGATCCCTTAACCCCTGGGTAAAGGACATTCCAAACTATCCTTTGCATTTCCCAGAAAGGTGGATGTCTCTTCCGTTTTTTCCAGCTTTATTGAGGTATAACTGACACATAACATGTTGTAAGTTTAAGGTATACAATGTGACGATTTGATACACTTATATATTGCAAAATGGTTACTACAATTAGGTTACTTAACACATCTATAAACTCACATAATTTGTGTGTGTGTGTGTGTGTGTGTGCGTGTGTGTGTGTGTGTGGTGAGAACATTTAAGATCTCCTCTTAGCAACTTTTAAGTATATAATACAGTATTGTTAGGTATAGTCACCATGCTATGCATTACATTGCCAAAACTTACTCATCTTGTAACTGGAAGTTTGTACCCTTTGACAGACATCTCCCCATTTTGAGCACCCCCCAGCCGTGGCAACCACCACTCTATTGTGTTTCTATGAGTTTGGCTTTTTAAAATTCCACATATAAGTGAGATCATACAGTATTTGTCTTTGTCTGACTTATCTCACTTAGCATAATGCCCTTAAGGTCCATCCATGTTGTTGCAAATGGCAGAATTTCCTTCTTTTTCATGGCTGAGTAATATTCGTGTGTGTGCGTGTGTGTGTGTGTGTGTGTGTGTGACATTTTATTTATCCATTTATCCATTGATGGACGCCTAGGTTGTTTCCATGTCTTGGCAATTGTGAATAATGCTGCAATGAACACGGAAGTGCAGGCATCTCTTTGTGATAGTGATTTTATTTTATTGGGCATATTTCCTAAACAATCTTTGTAGAGATAGGAGAAAAGAGAAAATGTCCAAACTCACAATTTTCACTTCAAATTTACTGTAACTCTCAGAAGCACATGGTTTTTTCTTATTCTTTTCCTTCCTAATAGTCATCAGAATTTGTAATTACATATTAATTTTTGGATTTTTTGTTGAACATCTGTGTCTCTGCTGTATTGAAAACTCCATGAGGGAGGACATTTCTATGGTCCACTGCTGGATCTCCAGACTGAGAACCTAGCATATAGTTGGCACTCAAAACATATTTATTCGAAAGATGAATAAATGAATAATCCTGATAATTTGAGTAAAAGCCTAAAAGAAGATAATTGGAGAATTCACACAAATTAAAGGATAATTGGGGTCATAGGGACACCTCCTCGGGAAAATCAACCTGTCGTAGTTCATAGAGATACTTCAATTGGATGTGAATTCCGGGTCCCCAACCATTCTGATATTTTCTGCCAAAGGGATAATTTAAATTGGACTCATGGGGCAGGAGGTGCTCAAAATTGTAGATAATGAAAATACCATTTATTTGCTCACTTAGCAAGTATTCTTTGCTTCTAATAGATGGGGAGAAGGGCTTTTCATTCTTATATCTAACAGAAAATATTAATATTTGTTGAATATACTCAAGAAGAATATTCTTTAGGGTTAACTTAAGTAAATGGGTAAAGTTGGTATAGTTTGGGAATACATCATTTAAAAAGCAGTTTAAATTTGGTGACTAGGTCACTGAGCAAATAGGCTTCTTTTTACTCCCTTGGGTATCACGCTCTATCTGCCTTTGGTGGAAGAGGCTTTCAATGTCTCTGCCATTGAAAAAGGGGAATGATTCACCCAGACTGTTTGGATGCAGCTCAATAAAGTCTCCTGGCAAGTCTGACCCATGGTCTCCCATCCTGGTGTTATGAAGTGACTTGATGTAGTCTGATTGTGCACAAGTCTTAGGCTCATTTTGATAGAAAATGAGAGCTGAAAAGTGTTTCTTGGTGTGATAGGTAGATGCCCCCCCAAGATTCCTGCTCCCTGGTGGATAAGCCCTGTATCATTCCCCCTCCCCTCTACTCCCCCCTCCATCTAAGTGGGAC